TGTCTCTGACGAACAGCGTTTTCACAACCCTAAACCCTGAACCTCCCCCTCCCCCCCCACAAACCACCGAGTGCAGCATGAGGATCCGGGTCTGCGCCGTGAACTGCCTCGGCCGCGGCGACTGGAGCCACGAGGAGCTCGAGGCGGAGTTTCCCGAAGCTTAAGGTTTTAAAGTTTTGGGTCCGGGGTTTAGGGTTTTGGGTTTTGGGTTTAGGGGATTAGGGTTCAGGTTTTAGGGGTTTTGGGTTTAGTTTAGTGTTTAGGGGTCTGGGGTTTAGGGGTTTAGGGGTGTAGGGTTTAGGGTCTAGAGTTTTTGGTTTGGGGTTTCGAGTTTTGGGTTCAGAGTTTTGGGCTTCGGGTTTGGGGTTTAGAGTTTTTGGGTTTAGGGTTTCTCACAGCCTAGCGTTTTTTTTCTCAGCCTACTCATGGACCGCTTGTGGAGCGCTGTAGTGGGGGCCTTTAACTTCCGAAGGTCCTTCATCGCAGGGGTTGTCGGCGGATTTTAAGATGAAAGGGACCAACAGGGCTTGAAACGGCTCGGCAGCAGACTTCAACTAACAATCCTGAGAGGTGTGTCTCAGGCGAATCGGCATACAACAGAACGAGGGCTTTTGCAGTCCCCAGCATTGCCAGGTCACCACGACCAGGGCGAAACAACCCGGGTCGAAAATTCGCGGCTTGGTGCATCTTGAGGCTTTTGTCTTTGGGAGTAGCCTTAACCTTGCAGCATGGTTAGGACTGCGAGGCCTCCACAATCCTAGAGGTCCCAGCCTTGACACAAGCCTGTAGCTGAGCAGCTTTGTGACGCAGTCGGGATCGACTCCGTGGCTCTTGTGTGGCTCCCTGCCATGCTCAGGAAACGTCTTGGCCAAAGGTGTCCAGACGTGCGCGAACTGCGCGAATCCCATGAGCAAAGAGCCAGGCGCGATCTGGGATTGGCAAGCTCCTAGCACTACTGTTGATGATATAAATCCTGCATGACCTTTGGGTAATGCAGGATTTATACCATCAACCGTATGACACATTATGTGTAACTTTTAACACTTCGGATTGACCAAAGTCCTCTTCTTTCGAATCACTGCGTTGCAAGGCGAGGCTGCCTATGCCCAGCTGGTCTGCCGATCCGTCTTCCAACCAGGCCCCGCTTGCATCTGTGCTTGAGACGATTCAGAGATGCTCTACTACGGGAATCCAGCGAGAGGCGATTTCGGAAGCGACTTGTGTGATGAGCTGATATCTCAGAACCCCAAATACTCAGCCCTACGTATGTAAGTCTTCAGCCCGAGCCCCTTTCCCGGCATCCCTCGCCCGCAGACTGCAAGCACGGCCCTTTCTGCCCGAAGTGCCGAGAGCGGGTGGCCCAAAAGGCACGATGCATTTGCATCTTAAGGGCTTATGGCTGCAGGGGTTTGGGTCTCAAGGGGAGTTTTTGGTTTATAAGGGCTTTACTCTGGTTTGGAAAGGAGCTTTGGACACTTATATGATTTAGGGGTTCAGGATTTGGGCTTTGAAAGCTCCGACTTGTAGCTGCTGCTCTCTGTTCAGGCACACATTCAAGTCCTGCTGCTGCCTGAAGGTCTTAGCATTTCTCAACAAATCGTGAATTCCCTGTCCGAGTATTCTCCTTAAGCGGCTGGATCATGTTGGATCGATGGCAGTGCCAATAGCCAAGTGTTGTAAGACAGCACAGAAAGCCATGAACGAAAATCTGAACATTCCTAGAGCTCTTGCTTGCAGGTGCTGTCCTGCTGCGTTTGCAGGGGTCTCATCGAGTCCTGGCGACAAGGTCCCGTTGAGGAGAATGCGGCCTCCTGACTGGGGCCAGATAGTACCAGGACCCTCCTTGTACCCCAAAAATAGCGGTATATGGTCCCAAATAAGTTAATAATAGGGGGTATATGGAGGGTCTAGGTAGGTGAGCAAAGTCAAGTCCTACGAACCTTGGGCCCGGCTCCTCGCCCCAACTGGACTTCAGAGGACCATACGCTCCCCGAACCGGTTCCCAGAACCTTGAAAGCAAGACTTGGCTTTGTGAAAGCGCGCGAGTGCCAAGCGAATAGAGCCTCATCCTGCTGCGGGAGAAAGCCGTCCTTCGGGTACTCTGACATGAGAACACGAACAAGCTTCGAGGAAGGTAGGCCCCTCTGAGCCCATACTCTTCGGCCTCTTTGCGTCATAACTCCTGCGTGAAGATCGCGGTGTGCTGCGCAGCATCGTGCAAAGTCTTGAGCACGCTGTGCTCATGAAGAGAGTATTCCTAAGTGCAGCCAAGTTACCACCCGGAAAATCCCCATCCACAGCCAGTCGCAGAACAATCGTGTGTCCGAGCACACCAGTGTGTCCGAGCGCCAATTCGGTCGTCGCCATGTCATGGGCCAATGCGCACGTGGCGCGGCTGGCCGAGAAGGCGCAGGGACTGGAGGGCTTCAAGTGGCTTCACTCGACTGCCGTTTAGGCGCACAAGATTTAGGGTTTGGCTTTTGAGGCTTCATGAGTCATATGAGGTTTAGGGGAATCTTTGTAGTGGTCTTCGGAAAAGGCCGATGCTGCCCGTTAGAAGAAGCCAGCTGCATGGCAGCACGGGGCCAGGGATATTTCCTTCACGGCTATCCGGAGTTGAGGGCGATCTGGAAGTTCGCAGATTGTGATGACTTGTTCGACCTTTGTGTTTCTCAGTGGTTTCGGAAACGCACTTCCGTGACTTCAATCCCAAGCTAAACCTTCAAACAAATTCTATATCAAGGCCACGCTGCACCCTATGACCTCACCAGCGAACCTTTAATGCCGAGAAAGCGAAAAACTTGACCCTGAACGCGAGATCCCTGTGAAGGCTCCTCCAGAGGATATTTGTGGCCTCGTGGTGGTCTGCTCTTGGCCCATGCCGCAGCCCGTGTGCCCTGACCGGAGTAAGAGGACCAGATCCTGCAAGATCCGCAGCTTCGGATTGAGGATTCAGGGCTTGATCAAGGATGGTACTGGGCCCTGTGGGGCTTTCAGGGCTGTGTAGCCAGCTCGTACGGCCGTCGTAGGGTGGGAGCCCAGGCTGGAGCAGTATGAGCTCTTTCGGGAGAAGCTGGCGGCAGCGATGCCCAAAGAGGCGGCTCTGGTATGAAGCAAGGGAGTCTTCGATCACTTTACAGGCTACACTCATTCTAGATCTCCCCGAAGCTACGAAGCCCCTACAAACCTTTCGTTAAGACCCCACAGAACTTGAACCTTGAGTCCCTGACTTTGTCTGTGGAATGGGACCCATGGAGAAGCCGGTCCTCCCGAAGCTCCCTGATCTGAAGCCTCTCGAGCCATGGAGGCCTACGTCTATCCTGGCGCGACGCTCCACTGCACGATCTGCACCCTGCGGGCGTTTACTGCAGGACTGGGTCCTCTTGCCCAGCCTCCTCTCAGGCTCTCTACTACAATTTCATCCCCACTTCGCCCTCGCGTTCCCACAGCAAACCCGGAACCCGCCCAAACGAACCAGAAAACCCCGAAAAGCTGTCCAAAGTCCCGTTCGAGGCCGCATGGAAAGCAGCGAGAAGCAGCGAAGCTCCGAGAGCTGGGGCAAGATCCTCGATGCGGCCCGGAGGGACCCGGCCTGGCCAACAGGCGGCCCCTGCCTGTGTCGGGCCTTTCTTTAACTCGGGGACTCTCGAAGAAGCCCTGCAGCTGACACGTATTCGGGCAGATGCATGATTCTATATAATACACCAGATGCATCGTTCTGTACATGTTTCTATATACATACGCAACTTAATTGTTTATGCGCTGTACTGTACTGTACTGTATGTATCTATCTATGTATCTATGTGTCTATGTATGCATGTATGCATGTATGTATGTATGTATGCATGCTACGGGAATGTTCCCGCAGGCCCCGTCGCTTTGAAGATGGGGCGACCGACTCTCGAGGGATCTGCCGGCATCTTCCGCTATGAAGACACGGCAGCTTGATCCGAAGCTCGGGGTTGAAGGGTTTAAGCTTAATTAAGATAAGGAGTTAACCAGCACCCCCCCAAGTACCCTTTAATAGAGCCCTTAATAGTAGGTATGTAGAGAGGGTAGTTGGGGGTTGCTGGAAGGGTTTAGGGTTTCGGAGTGTACCTGGACCGAAAGGCCCTGAATTGCAGTGCTAGCATAATTTCGGTGGATATCACAGGTTTTATTCTCACGGCCCGGTGCCCGGTGCGAATAGAGTAAGGAAGCCCGAAAGGAACGTCATGCATGGCTCGAGGCAGCACTCTTGGACTGCTGGAGCTTGTTTGGGGTGAAGCATTGATTAAGGAGTTGTCTTAGGACAAGGCTTGTAGTGCTTGTAGGGTGCCTTCTCCTGGTCCTTGGTTGGTGCCGAAGCCCTAGACCTAAGCCTCGAGCCAGCTATGGTTTATGATTTGGGGTTTGCGGTGTCTTAAGATGTTGGGATCGGATATAGGGACTCGGTCCTTTGTTCTCAACGCGTTCCAAACCAGAAGAGATCTCTTAAATCCGAACTGCAAGCTTTGGAGCTCAACTACATCGAAAAAACACACCCTGAGCATCTTCAGGCTGGCACCATCGCTGCCATGCGCAAGGCACTTCGTGCCGCCATCATCGCTGCCGGCGGCGAGCCTGCAGAAGGCAGGGCCCAAATCGCAGTGCACAGGTGCAGGTACATGAGTCGCAACAAATGCAATATCCCAACTAACGCTATTGGGATAAGACGGATGAGACAGATAATGACACAACCCTCGCAACAGCCCTGATATGCCCTTTATTAGTCCTAGGAAGCAGAAGCAGCAGAGTAACTTGTTATGGGCTTAGGGCCAGTATTTTACCTACTTTTGGGGGTTTAGGTAAGCGATCTGATGACGAGGCGGAGGCGATCGTTCGAAGGCCAAGCCACCCTCGGGCACGCCGGAAGGCCGTGGGTTTTGCGTGTTTCGGTTACCCAAAGGGTCCAAGTCACTTCAAGTAATATTATAGTTTATACTTTTGGGGCCCAAATAGCTACTAAGTAGCTACTATAATGGTACTTGGACCCTTTGGGTTCAGTGTTTTATTGGGGGATCGGTTTTGGGCCTAAGGTTTGAGGCGGTTGAAAGGGAAGGGCTCAGGGTTTAGTCGTGCGAGCGTTCGTGGGCTCGGGTCAGGCGCTGTTTGTAGTTGTAGGGCTAGCTACGAAACCCAGTTGCGACTTCCATCGTGACCGAGCCTGGAGCCATCAATCCACCGAAATCTTCGAATCTCGGGCTCCCCGATTGTCCCGCAGGTGAGCCAGCACCACATATCCCGGACGCTGGGCGCATGAAATCAGCTACTGTACAGTGAAGGGGTTTCCGGTTCGATGGGACCAAACCTACCAAACTCCAAACCCTTCGACACCGGACCGCCTGCGTCGGTACACGCTCTTGCCCTCGATGAGTTTTTCTTGAGTCTCAATCTGAGACAGCATACAGAAACAGGGACGCACCCTGGAGGAGCTTGATTAACGTCTCGACCCGAATTACTCCCCAGTCCCGCTTCATCAAAGTTAAGATCCCAAGCCGCAGTATCCTAAAGCCTGCCCAGACACCAGTGACTAAGTCCCGAAACCGCTAAACCCTAAACCCTACAAACCCTAAACCCTAAAGGGCTAAAGCCTAATTACAGTGTACAACCTCAACCCTCTGGGGACGCTCTGCAAGGACATTGTCCACTCCACCGTGTTGCGCTGGACCGCCGAGCCGGCGGATCGAGCTGCGGCCCAGGAGCTCGAGATGGGAACCCCTTTTTGGGGCCCCTAGAGTCGTACTGCTGATGACATATAAATCCTGCATTATACCTCATAGGATCCTAAGCTATGGGAATTGCGGCATATCCCGTTATTATGGGCAGTGCCGGATTTATGTCATCAGCCGTATGTAGTATGTACCATGTGCCTAATTTAGGGGAACCTGAGCTTGGGGTCATGCTTTGGGATGAAGCTTCGGCTTTGTATAAGGCCCCTCATTTTCTGAAGCTCCCATGTAGCGCCCTGTTGTTTGGTCCTAAGCCATGAGCATACGAAGTGGGGATCGCGAACGAAACATGTGCATCGCAGGGTCGGTTGCGGGTGGTCTAGGCCTTTCTGCTAGATCGGTTTCTGAAGGCAGCAATTGTGATAGCTTCTGGCATGTCAGCTCGGCTTGACGTGGTGCAGGAAGCTTTTGCACGAGTGGCGGAGCGACTCGTCTGCAGCTATGTGTCATGACATAGTCAGGCAGATAAACTGCAAGATGATATTTCTAGTGTTGGGGGATAGAAGGGGTTTTCTCCCCGGACAGACAGTCTACAATCAGGCGTAGTGTGGAGTTTATCCGTTCGAGGTTGAGAGAACGAACCAAGCGCTTGACATGTCTGTTTGCAGGTCGTGGGAGCCTGTGGAAATCATTGCAACGGCTCCGAGAGCTGTTTTCGAGGACATTCCGTGCCCTGGTAAATCCAGCTGGTTCTGTAACTTCTTTGTCTGTTAGAAGCTTTGAATACACCAGATACTCTTCCGTGTGCCGACACCAGGCCCGGAGACACCGCAGCCTTATGCCAGCCACAGAAACTTACGAAAGAAATGAGCATAGCAGTTGGCTAACATGACATCAGCCGCTCTAAAATGCAGTGTGATTGATCTAGAGAAAGGTACATGCACATCCCGGATGATGCGAAGCACACCTGGTGGCGCAGCAGCGCCTGAGATGCCGCGGATCCCGGATTCCCCCCAAAGCCGGGGAGCTCACTTCGGAGAAGCGGAAACAGTCGAGCCGGCGGATGGGAGGATTGAGTGACTTAGGGACATTTAGGTGTATGTTTTCAAGAGGTTTGGGGACTTG